ATCGATTCTGGAACGATGACTTCATTCCCCTTTGTACTGAGGCTGCCTCTTCTCCTTGAAAGCAGACAAGCCTTCCAAACGGTCTTTGGTTGGTATCACCTGGGAATAACAAGCCTCTTCTATTGCCAGACCTGTAGATAAATCCACCTCTATCCCCTGGTTAATTGCCAACTTTGCCATCCTTATTGCAATTGGGCCCTGGGGGTTAATCTCCCGGGCAAGCTCCAGAGCCCTCAAGTAGGCAGCATCTCCACTGTTATTCTGCTCCACAGAATGACTGACAAGACCCATTTGTTGCGCCTGTGTTCCATCAACCACTCGTGCAGCAAAGATGAGCTCCTTGGCAAGAGAGACGCCAATCACCCTAGGGAGACGTTGTGTACCACCTGCTCCAGGAATAATTGCAAGTTTAGTCTCAACTAGTCCCATTTTGGCAGTATTAGAGGAAATTCTGATGTCACAAGCAAGGGCCATTTCCAAGCCTCCTCCTAAGGCAGCACCATCAATTGCAGCAATTGTTGGTACTGGCAGGTTTCCTAGCTCTGTAATGAGGGCTCTTACTTTGGATACAAATGGTCCCACTTCGCTCTGGTGCATCTTGGCCCTCTCCTTCAGATCTGCACCTGCACAAAATATACCAGGAACCAAACTACATAAAATTACACTGCGCACATTTTTATTCTTCTTGATGTCCTCCACAGCTTCAAACATCATTTTCACAAGATTTTTGTTTATGGCATTTTTGGCTTTTGGTCGATTTATTCCAACGACGACAATACCGCTGTCTTCTCCGTCCAGGTATCTAACGTGCAGCTCATCCTTTGAGTCGGAGCTGTAGTATTGCGTAACAGCACCATGGCCGTTCAGGCGAGGACAAAGCACGACTCTGTTGTACAGAACATGCTGTCTGGGGCAGAGGGCAGTGGCTAGCCTAGACGCACTTTGTCGATGCGCTGAATGCACGGGAAAAGATTGCCAAAATGATCTGCAACCTAACAAGACTACTGTTTTCTTCCTTAGCAGGATGCGATAGGCATGGATATTCCCAAAAAACTGCAATTTGTAGACATCACATCTGTATTCTCCACTGTCTCTCTCTGTGGGGTGTTTCAGGGTCAGACTGAGGTCTCCAGTTTTCAGCAGGTCTTCATTCATC